TATTAAATGATAGCTGAAAAAGGATTGGTCATTAAATGATTGCTGAGGAATAATAGGGATTAAATCTATCTGAAGAAGGATTGGTCATTAAATGATAGCTGAGGAATAATAGGGTATTAAATGATAGCTGAAAAAGGATCGGTCATTAAATGATTGCTGAGGAATAATAGAACATCAAATGCTATCTGAAGAAGGATTGGTCATTAAATGATAGCTGAGGAATAATAGGGTATTAAATGATATCTGAAAAAGGATTGGTCATTAAATGATTGCTGAGGAATAATAGAACATCAAATGCTATCTGAAGAAAGATTGTCCATAAAATGATTGCTGAGGAATAATAGGGTATTAAATGATATCTGAAGAAGGATTGGTCATTAAATGATTGCTGAGGAATAATAGAACATCAAATGATATCTGAAGAAGGATTGGTCATTAAATGATTGCTGAGGAATAATAGGGTATTAAATGATAGCTGAAAAAGGATTGGTCATTAAATGATTGCTGGGGAATAATAGGGTATTAAATGATAGCTGAAAAAGGATTGGTCATTAAATGATTGCTGAGGAATAATAGAACATCAAATGCTATCTGAAGAAGGATTGGTCATTAAATGATAGCTGAGGAATAATAGGGTATTAAATGATATCTGAAAAAGGATTGGTCATTAAATGATTGCTGAGGAATAATAGAACATCAAATGCTATCTGAAGAAGGATTGGCCATAAAATGATTGCTGAGGAATAATAGGGTATTAAATGATATCTGAAGAAGGATTGGTCATTAAATGATTGCTGATGAATAATAGGGTATTAAATGATATCTGAAGAAGGATTGGTCATTAAATGATTGCTGATGAATAATAGGGTATTAAATGATATCTGAAGAAGGATTGGTCATTAAATGATTGCTGAGGAATAATAGCATTAAAGGATATCTGAAGAAGGATTGGTCATTATTGGTCAGGAATAATCTGTCATTAAATGATATCTGAAGAAGATAGGTCATTACATGACTTTTGTAGTAGGAGAAGGAACATATATTGAGGCATATCTTAATTTCATTTAAATTCAATAAAAAGACGTAACTTACTGCAAACCAGACTTTTTCTCCGCATAGCTTACTGTTTGGCCAAATGAGTTTGAAATATCTAGCAAATATTATAGCAATACTAGCGAGACCCATCCATCCACTAATCATCAGACATGCTATGGGAGGTAGAGAAAAAATATATGAGATATCGACAATTACAATAAGATCACCGACTGGGGCGACATATTTCTCACAGAATTCTCGCTTTGTACGAAGGATCTTAACAGCGTGCTATAATGCATTTCAATGTACAGTGTTATTGTGGCACTATGGAGTATATATTACTGTCGTAATTATAGTGGGAAAGCTTGATTGTTTTAAATATCGATAACATATAAAATATATAAAATAACGCAATCACGCATTATTGGCATTTAAAAATGTATCATTTTGTTATTCTAAAAATATTTCCTTATCTTTATGAAATTTACTTATCGTCATATAAATTGTCCAATTGAATCACGTTTAATAATTCAAATGTATCTGTCTTGTCGATTTCATATTGATAAGTTGCGAGGCAACACTCACCATGGACTTTAAGCATGATTGGTCTTTTCATAATCTCGCTGTATGTCTGCACACCGTCTAGTTGCAAGGCCTTGGCAGTGATAATTGGCAACGTCATGTGTTTTCCTTTTCCTGTAAATCCTGAAATTGACAACATAATTATCAACTCATCATATGCCTGCAACCCTTCCCCCTCAAAAAAAGGTACAACTTTGGGCTAAAACTGTATGCATGCGCGGATTTTGGCTGGAAAATAATGACAAATCCAGCCACCCCCCTACAATTTACCTTACGTGGATGTGCTGCCCTGTTGGGTGTGATTTTTCAGCCATCTGGTCTTAAATGATCCACAAATTTCAGGGATTTGGTCTAAAAGGGGTTTATTACATATTTATTAAGATAATTTAGGTCTTCTTTTAATATGCCACAACCGTACTTTGCTCTAAAATGGGATCTGACGGACAACTGTTTGGTCTATGATGGGGTCTACATTTTTGGTCTAAAATGAGCTATGGGTCGTGCAGTGCGGGCTACCCACCTATACCATATCGGCAGCCAAGTAACCCCCGGGCCGGTGTGAGGATATTCAATAGATCCGCCAGTAGTATGTAACAATACTATAATCAGACTAATGTGTCTGTGGTGTGTTAGAGCATAGACCCTGGTTAGAGTTGCAACCAATAATTACTGTAACGAAAACAGAAGAGGAAACATGGAAAAATAACTGTACTTTGAAGTCAATTTGTATGTTTTATATCTTACCATTCATTGACCAGAGTGGTCCCCGTGGAATTAACAAATAGTGTGGATCGTTCAGATCGAAAGTTATATTCGCCCCTTGGTCTTCTGACGGCACATAGTCAACTGACATTGGTCGATTAAAGGTACATTGAATACTGTTTTCAAAGTACATGCCGCTGAAACTGGCTAGGCTTGCCTGAAATGAAATATATATATATATATACATGTAGTAAACGAATATTATTTTAAAAGGCGGTAGTCGTCTCGCCAAGCATGCGCGAGATTTGTAGGTCTCATATAAACAAAGATGGCGACTTTGACTGTTGCGCAGATCAACGAGTACAAAATGAGACGTTACTAAGCTTTAATTAGGTATTTATTTAGGTGATTGGACGGTATCGAAGGAGTCACCGACGGTAATTAGTGCAATCCGCGCCAAGGTCAAGCCTTATACTTGTGTTTTCCATTAGAAGAGCGCATTGGATTGTGGAAAAATCAATATGTATATGTCGCACATGCGCAGCGCGACGACTCCCGCCCTTTAAACAGTAATTAAATCGAGTATTTGGGATTTAAAATTGACTATGTTATAGTGCAATAATGACGCACGAGTATCAGGGTCTTGTCATATTGACCGCGTGATGGCGCTTATCAAATGAGAAGCACTACCACTCGTTGCGGTGAGATTACCTTACCTCTGAGATTGGCTGTGGGACATTGCTTTTGCCTTTGTTGTAAGAGTGGTCGAAATGAAGCGTGTCCTGGTAGAACAGACATGCCCAAACGTCATCGTTATTCTAGAGGGCAAAGATCAAAAATATAAATATTATTATTAGTTATGAGTTGTACTAGCCGATACCGAAAACAATATTATTATAATTTCGCAGTCAATTTTTACCATCATTTGCTCTTTGGAGAATCCAACTCCTATATAGCTGTCTCCGTACTCCATCCTCATCCTACCCAGTAACTCGATCTGAATCGTGGAGTCGGAACCTTGTTGCCATGACACGAATACGTCACAATCATCCTTGTTTGTGCAGCCTTCCGGTATGGAAAAACATCCCTTTGTCTCCCCGCATCCCGAAGACGTCACTATGTAGTTTGCCTATTAAAAAACAAAGTAAACAGATATAAGCAATTCTTGTGTGTAAAATAAATACTTCAGAGGTGTTATGGTTTTGTCTTTTCTGAAGCTGCAGTTCGTGCTTCGGTGGTTCATAGATTCTTTATTCTGATATCACTTGATGACGTCACGTCAAATGTGTTGGTTCCCGGCATATATTTCATTGTCATAGGGACGAGTGTGAAGACAGCGTACGGTTCCTATTTTTCGACACACAAATATTGTTAAATTGGCTGAAATTTCAATTTATCAACATTCGCGGGAATCGTACGCCAATCGAACGCAGACCGAACCGGACGCTATCTTCACACTCATAAGGTGTGCCTTGTTCTGTTTGTTTGTTTGTTGCATAGCCTTCATATATCGACTGTCAATACATCGTTCACCAAATAATTGAAAACATGCACTGACATGGCAGCGTTACGATCTTTCCCGACAACGATCTATGCCAATTTATAACTATTGGAGAATTGTTTACTTCATTCATCTGGGGGAGTGTATAGTCAATGTTGTCTACCTTTTTGTGGTATATTTTTGAGTTGCTTGTTAATGGTTAGGTTACGATGTCATTGTAAACAATTGGTGCATGATCAGTAAATGGCGACAAAATGCGTTGGGTACAACTATTTAATGGAAGGAAAATCAAAGTGGGACGGGGAATTACACGGCTCATACAGCGAAAACTACATATTATTCAACATATTAGTTTTGAAGATACTTTTCAAAATGAATTTTATTTTTAAAAAACGTACCTATTCAGTAAAGGCAAGTCTGTTTGGAAAGAATAATGAATTAATCTTGATACAAGCATACGTATATGTCAAACGACATCTTACTAAGAATGGAAGTCTCGCTCTGAAAGGGGCGATAAAAAATGCAATGTCATTGCATTTCTATTGACAAAGTTGTATTGCTAACATACCTCATCAGCCCAGACCTCACTGGCTGCCAGCAACGCACATAACACCATCAACATATTACGCATTATTATTTAGAC